GCTTGCCCAGGCACTGACATGTCCCACCAGAGGACAGCCCTGATGCCAGGTGACACCTGCAGCCCAGCTTCCTGATGACCCCACAGCACTGAGAGGAGGTCTGACTCATGGTCTGGGTGTGGGACATGGACCCTGTGGGGCTCCCCACAGCCAGGGCTGTGCAGAATTGCTTGCCCGTGGGCAGCACTTGCCCAGCACACCCAGGGCTGCAGGTGCTTGGCTGCCCAAGTGGGCAGGTTTACTCAGGGACATCTTTAAGAGGGTCAGGCAACACTACATGCCAGTGGTACTTCCAAGTCAAGAGGATCAAGAACGCTGCCAAGGGTCTTGGTTGTTGCCAGTTCTGTTGGCACAGAGATCAAGGAAGAAAGAAGAGGGAAAAAAGCAGGAAAAAAAACCCCAAACACCCATCAAGCAAATCCCCAAAGCTTGGAGCTCCCTGACTTACAGCAGCAGTTGCACAAGCACCCCTGACACCTGCCCTGACACGAACAGGCTCAAGATGACAGCAAGAAAGCAAGGGCAGCCTTGGGTTACACACAGGGGTAACCCCAGCAACAGCCCACCCAAACCCATCCTGTGGGATGGTTGGGCATGGTGCCACACCCCTGCCAAAGGGGAAATGGGAGATGTGCCCTAAGAGCAAGCTGCTGCTGGTGGCTCATACCTCTACAGGGAGCAACCTCCACAGTGCCAGCTCTGAGGCTGCTTCAGGGGCCATGGAGACACATCCTGCTACCCCAAACCTCACATGTCCTGTCACAAGTACATTGAATAAGGAGGAGAGCATTGGAAAAGGCAAAATCTGGAATAGCACACAGGCCTGCAGGCTCCAGCTGCCTGTGCAGGCTGTGGCACCCTTCACATCAATCCCACCCTCCCTGCACACACCCTGGAGCATGGCAACAGCTTCCTCCCCATGCCATAGCCAGACCTTGCCCAGATCATTTCCATTGGCAAGCACATTGGCTCTACAAGTGCCCTAAAGGCCACTTGCTCTTCGACAGGGAACTAGCCAAACTGTTTATCCAAACCCTAACAGACCGACTCTCCTAGCAAAACCCAGGCTGCAACAAGAATCCAGATGCTCCAGACCCACTGCTGGTAGAATGAAGACTGTCCTGCCTCTGCAGCCTCACCCAGCTCTAGATCCCCAGCAACATGCTGTAATATCTAGCACCTCAAATCAAATACAATGCCCCTGATGACCACTCAGCTCCATTTTAGTGTACATAATCAAAACCTGTCCTGTGTGCTGCCTGAGTGTCCCTTCTCTCCCCTGCTCCCACCCCAGGGCTCAGTATGCTTCACTTCAGCACTCAAGAGCCAGGCTCTCCACAAGATCATGGCCCAAGATTCAGTTCCAGAGTGGATCTGAGCTCAGATGGACTTGCCTTGCTTGTGAGAAACAGCTGAAAAGAGGAATCCCTACAGCAAAAGCAAGCCAGACTTGCAAAAGGAAGCAGAGCTAGAAGAACTTGGAAGAAATTGCTCTTTTAAAAGCCTGACAGTCACCTGTAACAAGCCTCAAAGCATCCCTGGCTGTCCTTCTACGTCTCTCACAGACTGGAATCACCTCCCCAAATACACCTGCTTCACTGAGGAATGATGGACAGGGGAAAAAGCCTGGAGGAGCCCTGGAGTGACCCAAAGAGAACGGCCAGCCAAGCAGTGCTGAGCTCCTGGGTAAGGCAGAGATGATCTACATTTATTTTAACTCCTGCTCAGTGGAACAGGACACCATCAAAGCTGCCTGCATAGTTCCACACGCTCCTTTATATACACACAGCCACTTCCAAGCCCCAGAACAGACTCTGTGCCCCAGCCCTGCTCAGGTTACAGGGTGCAGACAGCTGGGGAGTGTCAAGAGACCTTCCCTCTGCTCCGTGCTTTGCATTGCCACAGCTTTCTCTCGTGGTGGAGGTGGCAGGAGAAGCATACAGACCTGGATCAGCACCTAAAATCCTCCCAGGTTCCATCCTTGGGATCCTGGCACTCTGTGGGGACTCCCCTCCAGACAAGGAAGCAGATGTGGGACCAGGAGAACGCCAGCAGGAGCTGGAGGGCATGGTGTGCTGGTACCTGGTGGCTGTCACCCCAGCTCATCCCAGCCCTGCCAGAGCCCTGACCTAGGGACCACCACTGTCAGGAAGGGATGGAGGGCAGGGCATGGGGTCCCAGCCATGGAATGGTTTGCATGCTTCCTGTGTATTTTTAACACCACTTTGACTCACAAGGTTCAAAAAAGAGCATGGATCCTTCAAATGCTTTTTAGCATTTCCATCCAACACCCCCAGAGCACAAAATAGCCCTCTCGACTCCCCCTTGCAAACAGGTCCCTGCCACAGCCTCCCCAGGAAAGAGGAGAGCTGTGCTTGCAGCCTGTGGGAGGGAAGGGAGAGCCAGACAGAGGAGGGGTGTGGAGCCAGAGTGGGGCAGTGAGTTTGTTTACAGGCACAGACCCAGCAGGCAGAGAGGCTGCTGGAAGCAATCCTCGTCCCTGGGGTCGTCCCTACTCCCAGCAAGCTTCCTGGCCCCTCCACCTCTTCTTTCAGCTCCAAAAAAGGATCGTTCCCTGTTACATAATGGGATGAGAGCTGCAAGGATGCAGGGCTGCACACACGGCCTCCCTTTTACTTAACAATACCTTTTTAGGTCATGGAGCCTTCCTCTCCCTGGCTGCCATGGAGCTGACAGGCTGAGGAGATGGATAGTGCCTGGCTCTGGCTCTTTCAGCTACAGAGAAGAGGGAAAGAGGGGTGTGGTGGGTGCTCCATGCAGAGAATGGTGAAGAGAGCAGGGTAGGGAGTCCCTGTAATCAGCAATGGTGTGCTCACAGCAATCCCTTCAATGCCACTCAGGGGATGCTCTGGGCACCACAAGCTCAAGGGAGAAAGTTCCCATAGACATGGGGACTGGCTCTCTGGAGAAGCTGGACCTTCTTCTTGGGGGTTTCCCTGTTGATTCTTCCACCCTGGCCTGAGGCATGCTCAGTGTAGAGTGGTGACAATGCCCATGAAGGCCAGGTCCAGCCAAGCAGCTGTCAAGTTGCAAAGAGTTAAATACCACCAAGTCCACACTGTGTCCCTGGATAGGCATCTGGCAGCAGGTCTGAGATACAGAGTTCTTGATCTGCTCAGCACAGCAGCAGCCACCTGGGCTGTCTCAGCAGTCACTGTACAAGTCTCAGCCACTTTTCTGTGTGGCTCAAGGACAGGGTGCCATGTCTTGACAGGTCTCAAATGTCTGTCTTGGGCACTGTCTGCTCTCCCACTACCTTACAGCTTTCAGAACAGGCAGACACTGACTGCTCTCAGAGCAGTTCCATCACCAATGTGAGTATCCTGCCCCTCCACATGGGCTTTCAGGATCACTAAAAACCTGCCATCCTTGATTTGAGATAGAAGAACCTCACCTTCTAACATTCCTCCCTTTCAGGAGACCAAGGAGCTCTCTATAAGCACAGATTTGTGAGTTGGGGTGCTGACCCCAAGAAAACAGGGGAGATAAGTCTTCTCTGAAGCAACTAATGGGCAACACCACCTTCCTGGCAATGGGGCAGTTGACACTGTGCTTCTCCCTTCCCTGTCCCCTTCACAGCAGACCAGCAGACTCCTGATTGTCCCAGAACACAAGCAGAGCCAGCACCAACACAAGGATTTCAGCATGGCCACAGGCACTCCTGGGGACACAGGGGTTAGCTTAACAGGTTATATTTGCATCCTGATAGTGACAGAGGCAGAGGGCTTCCCAACATCACCTCCAGCCAAAGCTTTGGCTGCAGCACACATGGGTTCCCCCAGACCCATTGAAGTGGAGCAGCTGTGACCACACTCCTCCTCCTCCTCACACTGCTCCTCTAGCATGACTCGTGGAGCTCCTCCACCTTCCCCAGCCAGGCATGTGCTGTGTGTGTGACAGCTTCTCTAGTGGAAAATACCAATGCCACGTGCTGGTGCTGCAGGCTCCCTGGGTGACCCGGACAGAGCTTATTAGGAGGTGATGACGTGCCTAGCCAGGCTCCCATACCTCTGTGCTTACACACAATGACTGGTTCCAGCTCCTTCCCCATTCTGGAGGAGCAGGAGCAACACCCACCTCCTTCCACCCACGGAAACAGACTCAGGAGCCTTGGCCAGCAGGCCCTGACCTCAGAGTGCTCCAGCAACCTCTGCTGGGGGCAGCTTAAATTACCAGCTGGGTTATAAAGTGCTGCCCTGCACATCCTGACACTGGCTTTGCATGCCTGCGAGACAAGAAAGGGCGCAGGACTGGGAAGAGCACTGCTCTGAAATTCCCCCTAGTCCAAGTCCTTCTGGGAAGTCTTTCCTGATACTCTGAAGGACCATATCCCCCAGTTAGCAAGCCACCAATCTGCACAACAGAACAGAAATGCTCTGTTTGTGTGTCTTGGCCTAGTGCCTTACCACACAGAGGCACTGGCCCCAGAAGAGCTTGGCAAGTACCTACCAGCTGGAAAGGAAACCTTTCACTGATACATCTGTGGGTCACTGGCCAAGCCACGGGAACTACTGGCCCACCATGTGTCAGAGAAGGGTGCATCAGTGAGAGCAGAGGCCCTGGGAGGCTGCACTCCAAGCTGTTGCTTGACAAGTCACAGCTCCTTGTGCCTGTTTATTCTCCTGTTGTAGAAAGAACAATCTGAACACCTGGGCAGCAATAGGCCAGTCTCTCTCTGAAGATTCAAGGACCTGAGTGCTCTTGCTCTATCAGAAGGCAAGGATCCAAGGCTGAATCCTTCCCTTCCCCTGTTGGTAAAGGACAGAAGGCTGCTCACTCAAGTTATGTTGCTACTCACAGGGAAAACAGCTCCCACTACAAATCTCCGAGATGTTTCCCCTACATACATGTGACATTTTTACAGAACCTTGCTGTCTGATGTGGATTTATCTGGATTCAGGGAAAAGCTTCATTTCAGACTATAACTCCAAAGGCAATACCACCTCACAGAGCTGTGGGGTTGGTTACTGAGGCCCTACCTTTGAATGAGGGTCCCAAAGAGCAGGTGGAAGACCTTCTGGACGTTCTCTGTGCACAGCCAGCTCCAGTGATCCATCAGCAGCACACGAATCACATCCAGTGCCAGGTCAGCCAAAGCTGTCTCGGAGTCTGCCAGGAGGAAGAGGAGGGTCAGATGAAGAAGCCAACTCAGCATCTAAGCAAAGCTGGTGGAAAGCATCATTCAAAACTCACTCTTTTCTCCAAAAGTCTGCTTGCCTTTCTTCTCCCCAGCCTAGAGCCTCATGCCACATGCAGATGACCTGCTGTAGCAGAGCCAGCCTGGGAAGCCTGCCCTTCCAGGCTCCCACTCTGATGGTTCTCATTTCTGCTTTCATACCAGCAGCCCCAAGATCCCTACCAAGGGCCACACCAGACCAGAACATGGCTGCTGCAAGTTCCTTCTCAGTAAGCCAAGACATTAATAGACCCCAGTTTACACACATGGACAGCAGCATGCCCAAAATAGATGAGAAAGAAGGCAGTGGCTGTAGCCAGGACAAAGGTAAGTTGCTGAGGACTATTTTCCTAGTCCTCACCAACACTTACCCCTCTTCCAAAGTGTAGTTTTCCAAGAGCAAGGCTCCGGTCAGTGTCTGCAGGCTGCCATCGTGTGGCAGGTCCAAGCCTTAGCAGGAAGGTGAATGAACCACATCTGGTTAAACCAGATGTATCAGTTCAAAAACAAACCCCCACACCTGCCTGGGACAGCAAAAGCTCTCCCTAACTGTCAGGAGGATGTCAAAGCCTACAGCACAAACACATTCCACTTGCTAGAGAATGACTTTTATGCTGCTGGGCCCCAAAGCATCATAGGTGTTCACGTAGAAAAAGCCCATTAATGTACCACAAACCTGCCTGAGACAGCTGCTCCTAGGCTGGTGCCCTGACCTGAGGCTACTCTGTGTCAACTCTGTTGTCAGAGTGAGCTCCCATACAGCAGCTTCCATTCTGCCCTTCCCCAGTGCCTGAGCTTCCAATCACTCTCTGCCTACAGAGAGCAAACGAGACTGTTTGTGCACAATTCAGTACTGGACATAAAGTGGAGAGGATTCTGAACCCCAGCACCTCTCCCTCTCTCTTCTCCCTGCTAGATATGACCTGGACTAATTAGCTCCAGCCCATTTCACTTGGAGAAGACATGAGTGCATTTGGCACATCTTGCTCTTGGCCACGCACAAGTTACTCCTCGTTTGCTTTGCCTTTTGAGATTCAACCTCCCTGTGCAGAGCCCAGTGCAGACTGTTTAGCTTCACCATAAGCCCATTCAAAGAGCATCGCCAGCAAGCTGTTTACTCCCAAAGCATCCAAGTGCCCTTCCTCATGGAGCTGCTGGCCAACCTCTTCTGAGAAGTCCCTCAGCAAGCAGATATGGACACCGGCCACCTCCATAGCCAGCTGCTCCCCAGACATTGGTTCCCCATGTGCTGCCAGACCAGCCGGGCCTGTCTCGCCTCGGAAGCTTCACAGACCTACAGGAATTTGACATCACTGATGTTAAATTTCCTTAGGAGCTCAGCTAACTTGGCCTGCCTGTAGCTCTTGTGCTCTGTGCAGAGCACTGGCCTCCAATCCCCGCCCTCCTTCCCCAACAGCCCCGAAACAACCGAGGGCTTGTGTTCAAAGATTATAGGCAAAGCTGGTAGTGCAGGCTGCATTTCAGAACACCAGACCCATCCCATCACAAGCACATGCTTTTAGTCACAGCTTGCCAAACTTGAACCACTGGAGTGAAATTTTTGGGAAGTTCCAGCTGATACAGCTCAGCTATTCCAAGAAAAAGATTACAGAACATATTTTCGCCCGTGCTCAGGATAACCTTGTAACTGGTCTGAGAGGCCAGAGCAGCCCTGTGCTTCAGAGGAGGGAGCTGTCATCAGAAAGGGAACAGCATTCCTTCAACTGGGATTCACACCATTTGCCATTCCCACCAAATCTAGCCAAACTTCACTGCATCTCAAAGGGTCCTTTTATAGCGCATAAACGTATCAAGGGTAATTTGAGACTAGGAAGAAACCATCATCATTTGGCCATTTTTCAGTTTCTAAGAGCTTGGGTTTATAACATTGGCAGTTTAAGTGGTGTGTCCTTAAGAAACTTATTTCCTAGTACACTGAGTACACGGAGGTGAAGATCTACAGCAACACAACTCAGCCAAGATCCAATTTGCCCCCACAAGCAATAAAGACAAGAGCAATCACCTAACAAGACTGGGAAAACTCACTTTGCTTTCCCTTTCATCAAGGTGCAACAGGTAGGAGACCAGATCCTCACACCAGAGACCTTGCAAGCTGAGCCTGCAGATGTTGGAGCTGTTGCAGTACCAAGAGAGTTACACTGAAGCACTAATAGAGAGGCTGAGCTCACCAGAGTCCATTTCTGGATGTGTCCCCCACTCTGACGTGCCCAGCCCATCTGTATCCTCCTGCACAGAGCTTTCCTTAGCTTCTCTGCTTCCCTCGCCTTCGGGAGCTTTGTTGGGGACTGTCTCCAGCAGCTTCTCCTGCTTCTGGATGAAGGACTCCATAGCAGCCAGCGACAGAGTGCCAGAGACCTACAAAAATCCCAGCAGTGAGCAGGACACAGCCAGAGCTGAACAGATGTAAGAGATCTCCACTACCCAGACAACCTCCCACCACCTGATTTGTAGCCAAAAGCACAACTAGGGCTGCTTATTGCCTTTCTGCAAAGACCTGGCATGCAGGAACAAGGCTTCAGCAGCCACAACCCTCATGCCCATGGATTACTCCAAGCCAAATTAGGATCATGCCTGCAAGAGGGATTGGAACTCACAGTGCTGCCCTCCCTGATGGAGTACACGATCCTGTCGTGCGCTTCGCCCACGCTCAGCACCGGAGTGATTTTACCAGATGAGAACCTCAGCCTGGACCTGCAGAGGAAAGACAAGGCACAGTCAGGGTTTTCTTGACAAGTCGTGAGGGATGTGTTTTGCAGCCTCACCCAAGAACCCAGACAAGCTATCTCTAGTGCCACATCCAAGCTAAGAAGGCTGATTAGGCCTAAGGCAGTTCAAAAAAAGCATCCACCCCCAGGATAACCAAGAGGCAGCAGTAAAACCACGTGACCAAAGCATTAATGTGCTTTTCCTCAACTACATGTGGGACTAGCCAAGGCTTTCCAGCATTCACCATGTACACACACCCTCTTTGGCAGGTATGTTACCTCCAAGCTCACAGGCAGACACTGGCATTTCTGTTCAGCAAGGTGTGAGCACTGCAGCAGAGACAGGAAAGTGTTCAGAGAAGCCTCTGCAGTGAGACATACTCAGCAGGATTGTGAAATCCACTTACAAGCATGCACATGCAGAAAGGAGGATATGAAAGGGCATTTGGGATTGTGGGACAAATGGTAAAATAGCCTGTTTGTGGTTAAGGAACATCCTTTGCAGGCAAGATACTTCAAAACCTGTACTTGCTTTTCATTTATGTCTTTGGCCAAAGCATCTTTTTGTAGCAAAACATCTCTTTTTGGGGAAAAAAGCAGAAACCTGCTCTCCTCCTGTAAGGGCAGATTCATTAATGAGCACAATGGGGCTGTTCACTGCCAGCACCATCAAATAAACACTTGGTGAGTAACAGAAGTGCAATGACCTTAAACACTACCCCTAAACGAATATTCAGTTGTTTGCCAGGCAAGGCACACTGTGAAACACATGGGAGAGGCAGGAGCAAACCTTCAGGTAGATGACTTACACTTGCATTTTGCAGTGACTCACCACATATAGGTCACATACATGTTTAAAGTTACAAAGCAATTCTCCAGGAGCATTAATGTCTTTGGCAGCAAATGACACCACCTTGCAGCTCCCTCAGGAAGAAACCCACCTTTGGTGAAAAACTCCTGGAAAGTCCTTCATTCAAACAACAACCCAAATAACCTTCATCAGGATGTGAAAATAACTCAGTATAAATATGACAGCAACCTACTATCCACAATAGGTAAAACACCAAGTTGGCATTTCCCCATGATGAAATGTATGCTCTGCACAAAGCACAGGGGAAGCTGAAGGAGCCCTTCCTTACCTGTTTGCCTTCTTCCCATCTGTCTGAGATTTCCCATCCACTTCAGACTCACTAAGATCCTCCGTGGGGCTCTGAGGCTCTGACCTGGGGAACGCTGTCTTCAAGGTGTCCACGATGGCATTGACAACAATCTGCAAAAGCCAGCAGTGCCAGGGTCAATCACTGAATACATCCCTGTTCCTAGGTGCAGTTGGAAGCAGTTCCAATGACCAGATTCCCACCTTGTCTATCCTGGAGACAACGAAGGGCTTCTTGACGAACGCAATCCTGGCATCAGTGTTGAGGGCGAGGAACTCCTGCACCTCCTCACTGTTGGCAACCTCAGGGACAGCACACAATTGCTGCAAGGCAAGATGTAGCTTGAGGTCTTTTTGGAGTCAGCTTCCCAGCTTGATCATGACCAGTGTGGGTGGAATAGATGGGACATGCTCCACAATCAGTACAGAGCTACCCTGAGAGCCACTTCCTTGCCCACAGGGCATACAAGCAAACATCTCACCTTCAAGAAAGATTCTAGCAGGCTTTTTCTGGCTTCCACTTTATCGCTGTCCATATTTCCAAAGGGGAGATCAGGGAACAGTTTCTTTGGGCCTTTAATATCTGCAAAAGAAAACCCCATTAGCAAGCTTGAAAAAATAGCAACAGCCATCTTTAAATCTTAACGCCCTCACGCTTCAGACTAGCACAGCACGCCGCCAAAGATAACACACCCCTCAGACCAGGGTGGCTGAAATCTGTATAGAAACTCCCTTCAGCTGACACTTTACCATCTGTGCCTTTAAAATTCAAAGAAGCAAAAACATTGGTTTAGCACAAAGACCTTAGATTGCTCAAAGAGCCCAAAAATTCTCAACAAGGCAGTTCTCCATTCCAACCGCCAGACCTGTCAAAACCAAGGCTGAAATTCGTATGGAAAGTCCCTTCTGCTGACACTTTACCATCTGTGCAAAAACATTGGTTTAGCACAAGGACCTTACATTGTTCAAAGAGCCCAAAAATTCTCAACAAGGCAGTTCTCCATTCCAACCGCCAGACCTGTCAAAACCAAAGGATTACACAGGGACATCTAAATTCAGTGAAGATTTCTACACAAGGACCTTTAGAAAAAACAGTGCTCCCTTTTCAAAAAAGCTTACATTTGACACAGCACTCTTCATATGCAAACAAGACTCTTGCTGATACCAGTGTTTTACTCATTGCTAAGGTGCAAAGCTATAAAAGCAAGCGGTGAGATCTCAGTGACAATAAAGATGTTCCGAAACACTGGAGTTTGCTGCCACAATCTGCTTTAGCCAGCTCTGCCCAGAACAAAGCCATGGGCACCACAAAAAAACCCAGAACTCAGAGCTGTACAGGCAGGGCAGAGGAGCAGGGACTGGGTGAAAGGGCAGATTTTCTCACAAAGCCACTGACTTTTCAGGAACTTGCGGAGCTCCGGTTTCTCCTCCAGTCTGGTCTGCAGGTTGAGGAACTCCCGGTAACGGCGGTTCACAGTGTGGTAGGCCACCTGCTGAAGGCTGCCCGTGCCCTCACCCTCCAGGGCCGTCTCATACTGAGGAGGAAGGCAACAGTCAATAATCTTTACAGACCCCAAAACAATCCTCGAGTGCTGTGGTTCCTGTGGCCCCTCCAGAAATTCCTCAGCTTGACCCTTCCCTGAAGCACAGCAGCTGCATACCACACAAACCCTTCACGATGAAGGGATGAGTGCAAAACAGGACACAAAAGACTCAACCAGCCCCACACAACCCTTGGCCATGAATGGGAAACCCTACCCCACACCCAAACAGCCACTGGAAAAAAGTCACTGTGCCCACTATTCCCCCACTAACAGAAAAAATTCATCACTGAGCAACCCACAGAGCAAGTTCTCATCTCCAAACATGAGTCTGTGCTCCCCTGCCAGGGCAAGGGTCTCAAAAAAGGGCTGACCACCAGGGGAGCCTTTACCTTCACAGTGTAGAGGGTGTAGGGGTGGAAGCCAGTCCCGCTGTGCTCACGGGCAGTGATGGTTCCAGTTATGCGCAGGTTCTGGATGACAACTGGCCCATCAGGGCTGCTGAGGGGCTCAAAGCTGAAGGTGCTGATGGAAGCTGTTGGGGAGGATGACAGCAGTGGTAGAGTCTGCCTGGGGTCTGAGGAGCTTTGTAGTGGGCCCTCTGCTGGTCCTAGATCTTTCCCCAAACTGGAGGGCCTCTGTGATGAGGACTTCTTGAGGACATCTAGGCTTTCCTCTTCCTTCTCAACTGCTGGGTCGATCTGGATGTCAGGGCAGGAGCTCAGCAGAACAGCAGAGGTGGGGAGCAGGCCAGCATCTGAGGCCATGGCCATGCCCTCCTCCAGGTCTCCCATACCATTCTCTGAAGCAGCCTGCCCCTCCAGCACTGTGGAGGTGTCCTGAAGGAGCTCACTGGGGATCTCCCTGCTGGGTGATGGTGCCAAAAGGTCCACGTCCTGGCCGGCATCAGGCGCGGGGGACTCCAGCTCCAAACCCTCGCAGGGGAAGAGCACACCCAGGGCTCGTGAGCAGAGCAAGGGCTCCTCTGCGTGGCACAGCCTGCTCACCATGTCCTCTCCCTCCTCACCAGCAACCCCCATCTCCTGCTTGGTCATCTCCATGGCCCTGGGGAAGGAGGGCAGCCCAGCAGGAGCAGCATCCATCTGCACTGGAGAGCAACGGGGCACTGGAGGTGCAGGTGGTGGCTTCTCCCCACGGGGCTTCTTGGAGAAAGCCCCAATGAGCAGCAGGTTGATCCAGTCGGGATCAGCCATCTTCCTGACAGCTGGCAGCAGCACGTTGCAAGCCACCAGCTCCACCACCACGAAGCGTCCCGTCCGTGTCTCCAGGTGGGGCCAGGG